AGTAGGGGACGAGAGATGTGGGCCCATTTTTGGCGGGCTTTGATTATATTTTTGTGAACAGCTGGCCAGTCGTTGTTGTTGGCGGATAGGATCCGACCAAGGTATCGAAAGGAAGTGACGGTTTCGATTGGTTGGTTCAAGGCAGTGAAGACAACTTCTCTGGATTTCCGGACAGCTTCCAGGTTTTGGCGTCGGAGTTTTCGTTGTTGGCCCTCAATACAAAGGTGGGAGCTCGGGTGGGTAGTGTTAAGTGCCTGGTAAGTGACATGCATGCCACATAGACGGCAGCGTGGAAGGGGTTGGGATCCTTCGTCTCGGATGCAGATGGTGTCTTGGGGGTGTTTTCTCATAAAATGAATGCGGAGGCCAGCATAGGAAGAGAGAATACCGGGGCAGTCCATTACTGGACAGGGGCATTTCCTGTTGGCCTTAGGCCATTTCATTGTATATTGTTGAGGCTCCGGGTGTTGGGGCAGTGGTGCCGCTGGGAGAGTCTCGATGTGGTGTTGTGATTGGAGGTGGCGGCGGAGGGCTCCCTCGGAGAGGGACTTGTTGCATTCCGGGCACGTTGTGCGACGGCGTTTCTTTTCTCTGACAGTGAGACCTTCGCCAGTCATGCGGCGCTTGTATGCATAAGGAGAGATCTCAACGTGACGGGCTCCAGGGTAGCAGATCATCGTCTTCGTCTTGTTGACGTTAGTTCGTAGTCCGCATCGGCGGAAGAGGTCCACTAATACGTCTAGCGCTCCTTGCAGCCATGCAGCATCCGTGGAGGCTAACAAACCGTCGTCGGCGTAGAAGCTGGTGAGCCGGTCGGCGATCGCGCGTCCAAATCCTTCTTTAACTACGCGGCCAGTATCATCGACAATGGTCTGAAGCCATTCTCGGATAATAGCGTCGACCAGGATGTTGAAGAAGTCTGGGGAAGGGATGCCGCCTTGGGTGACGCCTCGGGTGGGGCGAAATGCTGGGCCGTGGAAGCCATTTTGGCGAGGCACGATTTGCTGGTGGGTCCACCACGCTCGGAGGAGGCGGATGCAGCGTTTTCCGACGCCATATTTCTCCAAGATGGTCAGGAGCCGCGGTCGGTCGACGTTGTCATAGGCTTTCTTCAAGTCCAGAAAGATCTGGTACAGTGGAATTCCTCGGATGTAGGCCAATGTTTGTTGTAGTTTGGCCTCAATGGTGGCTGTGCTGGTGCCGCGCTTGGTTATGAAGCCGTGGAGGAAATCATGGAGTGTGACTTTGGGGGCTACGCGAAGTTGAATGATTTTCTCGCAGATCTTCCAAGCGTGTTCGATAAGGCCGATGCCGCGAGTGCCGCCATCAGGTTTGGGGAGGACGGCCAGGAGTTGCCAGGTGAGTTTGGTGGGAATTTCACCTGTTCGAAAGATGTGTTGAGTGAGCTCAACGAGGAGGTCCCAGTTCGTTGTATCGGCCGGGGGCGGTGGGTCTTTCTGGGATCGGTGGTATTCCTCGGGGTAGGCTAGTCGGATCCACTTTTTGAACGTGTCGGCGGTAAGCTTGGAGTGGCCCGCCGCTCGATGATTTCTCAATTTCATTGTTGCTTCTTTGATTTCATCTGCTGTAGGGATGGAGTCATCAATGGCCGCAGGCTGAACGTGGATGGGTATGGGTTCGCCTGGAGGAGTGGGTTCTTCCGCTTTGTAGAGGGCAGTAAAGTCAGAGGCAATTTGTTGTAGGTCCTGTCGGGATGGTTTCGGTGGGCGATCTCCCAGGTGGCGGTACCAGCGTTTCAGTTCGCCGTAGGAGGCTTGGAGGTTCTTGGTGGGGCCTTCAAGGTGGCTTTGAATGCGCTGGCCAGCTTCTTCCGTGCGACGTTTGCGGTCTCGCTTGATTAGGCGATTGATTTCACGGGTGAGTTGTCTGGCTTTGGTTTTGTCATGTTTTGGGTTACGTCGGAGGGCGCAGCGGGTGTCCATGGATTTCAGTGTATCAGGTGCTAGCCATTGGGGCCGTTTTTTGGTTTGGAGTTCTGGTTGGGGGCAGGCTGCGAGGACTCGTTCGTAAAGGGTGTCAGCATGGGTAAGAGGGCCAATTTTTGGGAGTGTCAGTGGGAACTTGCGACGGCCGTTCAGGTAAGCTTTATGGGATTTCGCTGGGCAGGTGCGGTACCAAGAGAGAAGCATGTGGTGGTCAGATGTAAAGTAACGCGGATTTTTGATTGTAATCCATTGGAAGAGCCGGCGGTCTGGGCCGAGAATGTAGTCGCAGCGTGAGCGGTAGGTTTTGTCAGTGGTGCTGCGATATTGGTACCAGGTGGTGTAATCTGAATGTTTCTTGCGCTGTTTGAAGTGTAGGAGATGGTCCTCCAAGGAGTACGGGGCGAGAGCTTTGAAGACTTCGGCAGTTCGTGGAGCCCGCAAGTTGGAGAGGTCCGCGTTGAGGTCTCCAAGGAGAAGTGGTTGTTGAGTTGGGAATCGTTCGAAAGCTTCTGTCAGGTAAGGTAGGTCATCCAGGTGGGAGGGCGGGAGATATGCTCCAATGATCGGAGTGACTTGGTCCGCGGAAACTAGGATTGCAGAGAGGACGTTGGGGCCATGGCGGCGGAGTGATTCTAGGTGCCAGTTGGCGGGTGCAGGGTCCGTTCTGTAGAAGAGTGCAAGTCCGCCTTGGTTTTTGGTTGTCGTGTAAGTGCAAAAGATGTCAAAGCCACAAGCGTGACGAGTATGAATGTCATTTGGTATTTTGGCTTCGGTGGCAATGAGAATGTCGACATTTTGTTGTTCAAGGTTGCGAGCCAGTTGTAGGAGACGTGTGTTGCGGCCATCTTGCATGTTGTAAGTGCCGAGTTTCACTCCTGGGATTTTTGGGCGGCGTTTGCTTTTTGAGTCGGGTAGTTTGAACAGGGACGCGATGCGTTGACGTCTGGTGGTGACTGATTCTCGTCGGCGGGCTCGTTGTCGGAGGCGTTGTTGTTGTCGTGTTTGCCTAACCATTTGGTCTGTTGGCTTGTGGAAGGGGTTGGTGGTTGGCGGGCCGAAGGATGGTCCAAAAATGTGTCGTCGGATTGATGGTTGATAGGGTGGCGCTTTCGCGAACTGTATGGCTCTGGTATTGGGAGTCCATGGTGTTACTGGTCTGGGGATGTCTTGTGGGGATGGTGGGAGTGGGAGCGGCGGCAGTGGAGAGTGAGGGCGTTCTGGCGGGGGTTGGAGCCGTGTGATGCCGCGGTTGTTGGTCCTGGTGGTGGTGTGTGGGCGTAATGGACGTGGAGAAGGGGTTATTCGTCGGTATGCTGGGCGAGAGAGAGGTTGTCGTGGGCGATAGGTGGGAGGAGGGGGCGTGGTGTGGTGTTGTCGAAGGTGGTTGAAAGAGTAGTTCAGTTGCCGTTGGTGTTGGTCCGGAGGGGTGTTACTGTTGGTGTTGCCCATTGTCACTGGGGAGAGCGGATGGGTGGCCAGACGGAAGTGGTAGGGAGTCTACGGGCGGCACGACTGAGAAAACTCGACAATGGTGGTGGGTCAATGTTGGGCCGCTGCCGAAGCAGCGGCGTTGAGCTAATAAGAGAAAGCAATTGGGTATGTAAGGTAATGATAATGCAACAGTAGAGGGTAGTAACGGGCGAGATCATGGAGTAACAATGGCTATACTTGTTAAACTTGCCACGTGTAGGGGTAGATAGAGATAGGTGTAAGCCAACAAAACTGGAAATTGAAGGTTTAACAAGTTTAAGGGTAGGAATAAAATTATGATTATTCAAGGTTAGTGCACTCATCACAATAAGCCAGCAGAAGCTGCAAAGGTTACAGTTACATAAGGGAATGACAGCTGTAAAGTTATGGTTATCGGGCGGCAACACACGACGAAGTCGGGTGTTGTCGCCAGGGCTAGCCTTTAGAAATAAAAAGAAGATTACAATGAGGGAATAATACTGGGCGGCAACACACGACGAAGTCGGGTGTTGTCGCCAGGGCTACCTTGAAAGAAGGGTGCAATCTCAAACAGATCCTCTTTCTTCTATTTGTCTTTCTGCCGAGGTATCGCAGCTCCCGCTGACTTAATTAGTACCATTGCATCGATGGTTTGGCTCAATGTCATACCAGGCACGACAACTTGCTGCTCTGCAAAAAACTAGCTACTAGCTAGTAGAGTGCTTCGAACCCTGAGATAGAAGCATCAAGGCAAGCTGGCAAAATCCTTCCCGGTGAATGGTATCTTGCTCTAGTACCGGTAGCTCACTGGCTAGCTACTAGCCAGCCAGCAATAGTTAGTGGAATGATTGCGAAGTTCGATCTGCGTCAGGTGCAAACTGGGACCGGCTCGAGCTCGGGGTGAGTCGAGTCCTTGGCGACGACGCTTTTGGGGGTTCTTTGTTTTTTGAGAGGCCCCCAAAAGCACGCACCTTAAGGTTTTGAGTTTCAAGGGTATCATGCGTATAATCTGTATCGTATGTATTGTACGCATCATACGTATCATACGTATCATACATATTATACGTATTATACGTATTATACGCGCGAACGTGGACCAATGAGAACTCCCTTGATCAGCAGCAGTCTTGACACAGCCATTTTTTGAAAAGCACACCAACAACAAAAACACCACCATCAACACTTCTTCTTCTCTCCTCTTGTTGCTCTTGCTATTGTTGCTTCTGTTGTTATTCAGCTATCACACCATCTCTACCACTACTATCAGGTACATTTACTCAGCTTCCTGCCTGTGAAATGGTCAGAGAGAGTGGCTATTCATCCGATGAGCAAAAGTTGATGTCATATCACTCTCTCTTCTTTCCTCCCTCCATGCCATACCCAAGTCTCTCAACAATGCTTTCACTCTTTCTCTACTATTCATAGACTAATAGAACAAGGTGAACAAGGCAGGACACCACCCATGAAGTCAAGGAAGTCAAGAAATAGCACATTTCCATTTCACCAGTAGATCACAGTACTGAAATCCTGTAAGTACCTTTGTATCGTACGTATGATATATATAATATGTATCGTATGTACGATACGTATGGTATGTATTGTATGTATCATACAAACATGTTGTAGAATATGTATCGTATGTATTATATCAATTATATGGATAATGTATATTATACATATTTGTGTATTGTACTGACTGCAATCTTTGTTTCTGCTGTTTGTATATGGCTTTATTCATAGGTATCATGGCTGAAGGTGACACTAACCCCATGGGGGACGATGCCTTAGCAGGAATGCAAATAGATGAAGTGCGCGCTCCTCCTGGCCCGGACAATTGTGGACCTTTTTGGCGTTGGGAAATCTCTGAAGAGCAGCTTGTCGAGTGTGTGAAGGAAAAGATTCCCCTTGTTTTAAGGTCTTATGTTGATCCCGAGAAGAAGGGCAAGATTCAGCTTCATACTATCTTAGACCCACAGGATCAAGTCTACTGTCTGGACTGCGTGGCTCATACTACTGGTTTACCCGAACACCAGATACCTTTAAACCCCCAGTCCCTCAAGCTTCACAAGGCAGGCACGTCATTGTACCAGCATTGCATGGGCAAGGCGGGTAAGACTAAGGGTGTTAAGGAAAGCAAATGTCTCAAGTGTTTTGATGAGGTTGCACAGAATGTCCGTGATAGACGTGCTGCAGCTGGTCAACAAGAAGCAGACAAGCAGCGCAGGATTTTGGAAGAGAAGGAGCGTGCTGCTGAGGAAGCTGCCCGTCTAGCTGAATCCGCTCGTCCCTTCACGATTATCAATGCACTCTTGAGACATGTCGATGCATCCCTCTTCATGGCAGAGTGTTCAACTTCACTTATGGTACTCGTAATCATTCCAAAGTGAGCTCTTTGCTTCAGATGATACCCAAACAGGAGATCCCTTTGCACTTTCTGTTGTCCATGCTAGTGCAAGAAGAATCAAGCTCGATCCGATATTGGATAATGCATTCCTAACATTTTCAGAAAATGCTGCAGCACTGTCGACTTCATCAGCCAGAGCATTGGAATCAATGTCTTGAGGAGCGGCACCTTTTCGTCTTTGTCTAAATCTCAGGTGTCCAGTTTCATAATCGGCAAACAAGACTACAAAAGCCTTTGTCTTATCTGACTGAAGCCGTGCGAGTAGCCGGTCAGCTGCTGTTGCTTCATCAGCAGGGACTTGTGTTTCAACACCATCAGCTGACATTATCGAGAGCACAATCCCTTGCCGGAGATTCCGCTTCATGCCTTCCAGCTGCTTTGAACTCAGGGTAGCACCAGTGGTTTCGTACAGCAAAGTTTTTATCACACTGGGAGGCAAGTGATTTTTCAGGCACTGATCTGCCAATGTGACCGCCTCGGAACTCAAATGTTTGATCTGGACTTGAATTTGGCTAGGGTCGAGCTTCGGATGTCCAATGTGTTTGGTGCTTCCGCCTTGTTTGGCTGGCAGGAACCATCGCCTGTGCTCATTACTGAAGTAAACATTAAAATAGAACATTAAAGCTTGCTTCCTTGCATGCAAGTGCAAATACAGACATCAGTTCCTCTTTGATAAACTTTTTGTCATCTTTGTTGAATTTTCTTGGCAGCCAATACACGTCGGTCTTGTCAATTTGAGCATGGCCAAGTTGGCCAAGCGTTTGCATAATGTCAATTGTAATAGGAGTTTCATTTATTAGAGACGTTGCCACAGCTACACTAATAGAAGGAGGGATCCACTCTTCTACATTGGTATCATATTGGGCAACATCATTCAGTTCAGCAAGATAGGTATCCATATTGGTTGTTGTGACACTTTGGTGGGTGCTTCAGTTCAGATCTTAGAGACCTGAGAACTTAGAGAACTGGCAAAACTTCGTCCTATCATATGATACATATTGTATATATTATATATCATATATATCATATGGTTAATATATATCATAATATTATATCATCTGGTTTTTATGATAATTGTGTTTCGTATGATACGTATCATGCGTACGATATATATGATACGTACAGTATTGTATAGTATAACCCTTCCTCTAAGGTGCGTGCTTTTGGGGGCTTGTCGGTGAACCTACAGTAAGATGCATGTGCCCCATTCCGGTTGTGTTCTTCAGGAGTTCCCACCCGAGCAGAAAGATACGGCACCCGCCAAAGATACCATGACTGACTGCTTGACATCCTTACAATTTGCGAAAGCAAAACAAAGAAACACAAGTACAACAAGCCAACGTCCACAAGTACAACTACAACAATAGACGTAAGTTTCATTCCTTGCAGCATCGATAAGTGTGCCAGTTGGTTGGATGGTCTCTCGGTACGGAAGTGCTGTCTTTTGCGTTTGAATTGCATTTGGAAACTTTCTCGGCTCCATAGCTATGCAGCGCTGCTGGTCTCTGTCGCCGCTTGCCTGAGTGTTTGCGAGTCATAATGATTCCTCTTGGTGTTGGAGTGGGATATATTTCGCAGTCGATGGCGAAGTGCGAAGCTTTTTGTTGACAAGTCGCAAGCCCACGGAAGACTAACCAAGAAGATTTTGGTATCTGTTGTTCCTAGGCACCCAAGCACTCGGATAACTCTACCGTACGTCTGAGCCTCCCAGTTCTTCAAATTCTTCCCACGCCATGACACAACATCGCCTCGGGGTGTGGACGCTCAGATCGCTGGTCGTGGGCGTTTTCCTCTCTATGCATACGTCCGCCCATGCTTCCGCCAGTGACACATTCCACGAAGACGTAGTTGCACCCTCAACGGATCCTGATTTTATCACAGATACGACGAAATACCTTCGATCCTCTACGGTGACCCTCCAGGAGCATCTAGAAGATGTCACTAAAAATGATGAACTGCTGACCCACCTGGACATTCTTTCGGAAGACGAAAAGGTAGGCATGATGGACTCCCTCCGGGATTCCATGGTCAGCTTGGATGCCATGCTTGATGATATCGATTTGTCGGGCAGAGGAATGGAGGAGTTCAAGAGCTTGGCCGAGATTGGAAGGGGATATACTGATAAGGCCGTAAAGGTGGTGGAAGATGCAATCTCCACAATCAAGTCGATAGCACTTTATCCCGATGCCGACCACGACAGTGAAGAGGAAGGGAGGTTCCCTGACTCTCAAGTATCCCGTCGTCTTGATATGGACTTTGGAGAGGATGAAGAAGAGGAGGCATACGATCGTGAGAACAGCTGGAGCCACCGTTTCTATCAGGAACGAAACTCGGGCAACCACAGAAAATAAAGGAAACGAGCACAGGAGAAGTACGGCAGTTCCCACAACTACGGGAGCACTTTCCGTCAACATGCAAACACGCACCATGCTCGGAAGCTGAATTCCTTTCGGGATGCTATTTACAATGGTGACGTTCATTCCGCTTTTGCCTCCTTCAATACTGGACATCACACCAGCGAGTCGCACCATTCCCGAGCCAGACGCTTGGCGGCGAACCAAGCTCGTCGGCTGTCAAAGAAGGAGCAATGCAAACTTCTTGCTGAGTGTGCCAACAGCATGAGTTTGTATGATACTTTTGTGTACTACTATTCAGGTAAGCTTGGTTAAAGCCTACACTGTCAATGAGAAGGTTGCGTTTGGAACTTACGCGGGTCCCTTTCAATTTTGTTGATAGACGATATTGATCCAGCATCTGGTGAGGTGGACAAGAACCTTTTGAAGTTCGATGAGAGGAACATTATCTCGAAGTACGAAAGAATCAAGGTCTTCGCAAAAGAGATTCTCAAGAAGGGGACGTCGAAGCACAGATGCAATGGGCTGCTTCAGACCTTCCATCGTACAATTGAGCATGGGCAGATACCAGAATGGGAAGGTGCCAGGAATGGTTTAGAGGGCATATTCCTTGGAGGACTGAGGAACAGCCCCTCACAACAGTTTCCCCATTTCCTCTTCACAGTGTGAACCAGGTGTGCCTTGCCCAAGGGTCCACGGTGTTCGTGCAGTACCAAGAGATGGCAATGGCTTTGGTTGACCGCACATTTGTGAATGGCTACAGCCAAGTGAGCGAGAAGAAGTGGGTATCAGAGATCAATCACAATGTCAAACTGGTGGCTGAGAGCATTGCAGTGGAGCCATTTCGATGTGCTGAAGAGCTTTTCTATAGAGGCGACAGAAAAGATCGGAAGGAGGAATTTCCATTTGGAGGTTGTGGAGGCAAGAACTCGGACAAGTGTTCCGTTAGCAAGTATAAGTTTCCAATCAGATTCGATGTGGAAACAACACAGTCAAAAGCAACGAAGTATGAGACCCACTTCAAGAGAGTCAGGTGTGACAGGGGATATGAAATCAAGAGCCGTCAGCAGTGTATTGAAGCTGGCCAGAACGTGGGAGGGATTTTGAAGAACGGGGAACTTAAGGAAGGACACTGGGGGTGAGTTTACGCATATGACTATGTTTTGTTGGCGCAGTGTTCGTCTGGCAAACTCATTCTCCTATGATGAAGCCATACACCCTGTGGTTGTTTTCTAAAGCGGGGTGAAGGTGCCATCCTTTGGAATTTAAGTAACAAGAAATGTAGAAATGAAGACTGGAACTACAGCCCAGTTTGTGTTGAGCATCGAAACAGAGATGACTATGAAATTGTCCATTTCAAAACCAAGTGTGACAGTGGATATGAAATCAAGTCTGCAACAGAGTGTGAGGAAGCAGGACTAGCAGTGGGTGGTGAGATCCTCAACCGCTATGTTGAGCAACGTGATTGGGGGTGAGTTCTGCGTCCTGGATTTTGTTTTCTCTAGAGATCAAATTGCTCAGAATTGCTTACTTCAATCAATTAAAGGCACACACCATGCGGTTGCTTCATGTCAAAGGATGGAAATATCAACTTTGACACCGGGAGAGGGAAGTGCAAAAATGATAATGGGAGATACCAATCAATTTGTAAGCGGAAGAAGGACAGAAAATATGTAAGCCTCCGAAAGAGGGTCAAATGTGATCCTGGGTTCGAAATCAAGAGCAAGAGTGAATGCATCAAGGCTGGCCAGGCCATTGGTGGCCGTTTGAATAAGGGCAATCCTCTAATTGGAAACTGGGGGTAAGCTGTCTTGCCTGTTTGCTGACAGATCCATGCATGTCAACACTGATCAAACTCCACCTTCTTCGTGTCCAAATATTTAGCCATACACCCTGTGGCTGTTTTGTGGGGTGGAACAGCCTTACCATTCATTGGGATGATGGATCCAAGTGTGCCAATGATGGATGGAACTACCATACTGTGTGCAAGAACAACCCTGTGTCTGAAAAGTACAAAAGGGTGCAGTTCACAAAGAAGTGTCCTGGAGGAGAGGAAATCACCACTGTCTCTGAGTGTGCTGTGGCTGGTCAGGCACTTGGGGGTTGGTTAGGCGGATGGAAGGTGGAGGTTCGTGATTGGGGGTAAGGAAGGAGAATTGAGAAACGACACGAACAACGTTAGAGCCCTTGTGCTTTTTCTGAAATCATTTGTTCTTCTCTCTCTCTCTCTCTCTTTTGCAGTCATACTCCTTGTGGCTGCTTTTTAACTCGTGATGGGAGGGTCCACTTTGACACAGGGAAAAGTGGCTGTGAGAACCAAGGTTTTAACTATGAAGCTGTGTGCCATCAAGCTCCTGAGAGCAATGGGGTAGGGCGTGATGTACATGGCAAGTTACTGAGCAATGACAAGTCGGGCTTTGTCACAATGAGCTATGAGAAGGTTCGACGTACAGCAGATTCATGCATCAACACTCAACTTGCTGAGTTGCATGAGGATTGCTTGAAAGAATCAAACAAGAAGCAAAACTCAAAGTACTATGAATGTAAAGTGGAGAAGAGGGAGAAAGCCATCAAAGAATGTGACCGTTTTGGACCAGTCCAGACTGCATTGGACCTTGTTTTTGGTTCTCAAACTTCTCCTGGCTTCATCTGCGGAATCAAGGATGCCATTGTAAATGATGGTGTTCCAATGCCAGGTAAGTGCCCAAAGAAACTCAGCTTCAAGCCCAAGGCCCCGAGCCTGATCCTACTCTGCTACATTATCTTGCAATCTGCTACATTCTCTGCAAAAGGATCCTGTTGCTTGGATGCCCCCTATGAGCTTGATGGAGACTTGTGGGGACAGCCAGTGAGTCTTTTACTCTGCTTGTCTTTCTTTCTTGAAATCTGATATCTTCTACTAATAACGCCCTTTGTGTTCCTTTTCCCCAAGTACGACTGCGAGTCGAACACTCCATGCAAAACCCCTGGACCTTTTTTGGCTGGGGTGAACAAGGATGCCTGTGATGCCCATGGCGGTACTTGGTGTCCTTCTAAATCAACCTGTGCCACGCTCAAGGACTGCATTGATTCCCTCATTAAGGAGGCGACCAAGGAGGAACGTCTTGCATATGAAGAGTACCTCAGGGGAGCACCAACCATAGAGGATCCAACAGACCGTCATGCCTGTGGAAGGACACGTGGATACTTTGGCTTTGACGAGAACTTCATCAATGTAAGTCCATTAGTCATTCGATGGCTCCTGATTTTGCTTCTTCATCCGTCCTTTTCCAATGGGAACTTTCCTTTCATTGCTTTAGGACCAACAAATCTGTGAAGACATTGAACAGCTGAAGTGGGCTCGGAACTTGAATTTTTCAAGCAAGGCAGCGATGTGGCAGAAAGCGGCAATGGTGATGTTCCAGCACTAGCCCTCATCCCACCTGACAGGAGTAAGAATAATTCGTTTACCAGCCATCTACTGGTCGCACCCAATGCCTAACGAGACACCTCATTCTTGTTTGTGCTAGGTTCGTCGACGGCTCCAGCCGTACAGGGTCATGATGCCTGGCAGGGTACCGTTTTTGCCTTGAAGGTTCTCAGCGGTGCTTTGGAGTTTATCATGCAGCGCTTCAGTGACATTGAGTGTCCTTGTGGTCCTTTCTGCATAGCTGAAAATGTGTGCAAAGGAGTCAAAGAGACACTCATCCCGATATTCACCATCATATTCCAGGTTGCACAACAGGTAGGTAGATAGAGCATGAGAGGAACCTGAACTGCAGGACAAGACAGATCTCATCATTGTTCGTTTCAGCTTTTCCAAGTGGCTGAAAATCTCTTTGAATTGTTGTCTGGCGAGGCTGATGTCATTCGAGCTCAGGAAAACACCGAAGTACTCTTTGAGAACATGCAATTGGTGGGTAGCGGACCAGGTGTGGGCGAGGTGTTTTGCTATTCGCAATCGCACATCACGCTCAACCTTGCTTGCTTCTTTTGACATGACTCAAACACCCAACCAGATGGCCGACTATCTTGTTGATATGCGTGCAGAAAACCGCAAACGCAATCATCGCGACCTCGCTTACGGCAGTGATAACCATCATGCTGCCGCCGACTTCAAAGTCGAAGTCCAAGTCTTGCCGGACAAGTCCGTGGTTGCCCTCACAACTGTGAATGGCGTTCAAGTGGATGCCAACTTTACATTTTCAAAGCTGGACGAGAGCAAGAATGAGATTTCGGTCGACTTTACCACAACGGTGCTCGAGCCAGGAAAGACTGTTCTGGAGTTTGGGGGTGACGTTGGTGCTTTTCTGTTCATGAAGGCGTCCCCCCTCGGCGGGGATCAGAAGAAGAGCCAACTCGTCTCGTTCAATTAGGGATTGTCCCCTGCAGCCACCAGAAGAATCAAATGGATTGAGACGCTTCAGGTGCTCTTGAGGACGTGAGGACGTAGATACATATTACATGATTGGCCATTGAAATAATAGACTTCCGTACAGACTTTTCGTCGAGCTCTATAGCCAGCTAGAGAATAAGAGGAACGTGGTGATTGGGTCCCGACATCTCGTGGTGGGCAGAGCTCAGACAAAGCACGACCACTCCTTCTTCGGGGTCGTCGACTGACTGTGCTCGGAGGAGCAAAGGGACTAACCGTGCCGGTACGGCATATCGGAGGTCCCACCCGACCATGATCACACCCGCAACCTATGAATTCCAAGATGCCGTGAAGTAGCTACGAGTAATCGATCGTACCGCTCAGGAGCATACCGATGAATAACGACGTCTTGATTGTACGGTACGGGAGAGTACCGGTATCATTGGTTCCTCGGGTAGCTTTTCCCACGGGAACCTGAACTTCAATGCTTGGCGACGGGTCGTTTGGTCAAATCGTGGAGAAGTTGCACATTCAACGAAGAAATTGCTCGCAACGGCGGGACGTACCGTTGGCTCGCTCACTGGCTCTAACCCTGACTCTCCGCCTCACAATTTACGGTTCAAACGGATGGCGGAATGGGGCATTTTTTGAAAAAGCGCTCCCATTTCCGTAGTGTACCGGTGGTAGAGCAAAGAGTATCCGGAGCACCTCTATCATAAAACAGATCAGATCAGAACAGGAGAAGAGACCATGATGAAATTATCAAGCTCTCGCGCTGCTAGGAGTAGACGCCACGGAGGACTGTTACCCATGGGAATCCTGCTGAGTCTTCTGCTCCTTGCTCCGGTCTCCTCCCAGACTTATCCTCAAGAATGCGCCAACTACGCTCCACCAGCAGTCATCAAAGGCAACAAGATCTTCGTCAGCACTACCGGAGAGTATCTACCAATCAAGGGGTAAGTTTGAACTAAGGTGTTTGAATGAATGTGTTTACTGATCTCTTGCTAATTCTTGATCACTGTCAATATTTTTGGGTATACCGTATGCGTGGCGACGGCTGTATCTGGTTGATTATCTTTCGAATATCACCATTCTTGATCTCCTACCAACCAATAATTCAATCAGCATCAACTATTATCCTCGACCTAACGATGGAGACTTGGTGTTGGGGAACTCTCAAGACTTCTACTCGGAAGAATTTCGAAGCAGTTGGGAGCGTGACATTGCTCACTTCCAAAATCTTGGTATCAACGCCATTCGTCTCTATGCCGTAAATCCAGGACTGAATCATGATGGGTTCATGTGTGCTCTCAAAGCAGCGGGAATTTATGTGATTGTTGGATTGGCAGCAGACTGCGAGAACTGTGCGGTTCAGTGGCAAGATCCACCCAATTGCTACCCCCTCAGGCTCCAACAACGAGGGCAATTCATCATTCAACAGTTTGCTCGTTATGAGAATGTCTTGGGCTTCAGTGCTGGGAATGAAGTTTCGTTGAGTGCATACTCGGATAAGGGCAATCTACCCTGTCAAAAGAAGTTTATCCGTGACATGAGGGCCTTCATTCAGCAATGTGCCGCTAGCAGTGGCATGAGGCATATTCCCGTTGGAGTCATCTTTGCGGATCACGATCGTGAAATCAAGGCCCAGTATTACAATTGTCGTTCCGATCCTCAAGATGACTTGGAAGAAGCGGAGTTTCTGGGAATCAATAGTTACCTGCATTGTGACGGCAGTGCCACAGATATTGATGAGCTCATTGGATATAAAACTCTCTTGGCAGGCTTTCAATCCTGGGGCCTCACTGTTCCTGCCTTGTGGACGGAGTTTGGCTGTTTGAATGATTCCTTTGAGACTATTGGGGATCACCAAGCTCAGAGGAACTTTCTCCAGGTAGATGCACTGTTTTCACCCGAGTACAGAGAAGTTTTCAATGGCGGATTTGTTTTTGAATACTCAACAGAGAAAGTGTACAGTGAGAGCCAAGCCCCTTTTCCATTTACCGGCTTTGGTCATGGCAATTATGGCGTGGGGTACTTTTCTCCTGAGAACTGCAATGGTATTGACATCCCTTGTGAGTACATTCCAAAACCCCAGTTTCAGTCATTGGCCAGTCGCTACAATGCCGTAGATGCTGCTGTGGCCAATGAAGTGACCCTGAGCAGCTTCAATCCACCGGTGCTGGATCCACCAGCTTGTCCTACTGAAGTCCCCGCGTTGAGCCAGTTTGTATGGCCCACGGATGACCCAAACATTCAACCCCGGCAATGTCCTGTTTTGGTTCCAGTCTACTGCTTTGGAGTACCAGGCGATTGTGTCACTGTGCCGCATCCGTCCACGGAAATCTTGGACACTGGCGCTATCGACGAAATCTTTGACACCGACCCTGTCAACGTTGAACGAGTCACCAATACAACGGCACCGGTGAAGACTTTGTCTCCCACTACGTCCGCTGTCGTCACACAGTCACCAACTACCAATGCGCTCACAACAACAACGACAGCTCCATCGTTTGCAGAGTCGCCCGGCACTGCTTCACCGTCGTTAAGGGCCACTAGTAGCACTACCAGTACACCAACTGTGGCCCCCATTGTCACGGCAGCACCGACGGGAGTGACCTCAGATCCCACAGCACCCCCCACTGTAGTAGCCACCCCGGAACCAACGACAGGTGAACCAACCAGGCAGCCGTCGGCAAGGCCATCCACGGCTTCTCCTACCTTTACGCCAACCGATGGCCCGTCTGCTAGCCCATCAGCGACGATCGAAGCCCCCGCAGAGGATGGAGAAACTGGCAGCGATCTCGATACAGTGGAGGGTATCTCATCATCAGGGCAAGACGTCTCGAACACAACAAACGGCAGTAACACTACCGGAGACGACTTGACGGAAGCGCCAACGTTTGAACCAACAGAAGACTTGGAGCTGCCCGCCGTGGAGGGAGAAGCAACCTCTTCCTCCCCGCTCTTGGCAAGGAGGGGTCTTTGGGTCACGGTTGGAGCATTGGTCGGGTTGAAGATGCTGCTCTAGTTGGCTGTAGCAAGCTGGCTGGCTACCTACACTGTTAGTTTTGAGCTGGTTTAAATAATCAATTGTAACAGTTCCCATTTTGATTTTCTTGACACAGTCTTTCGTCCTTTGCGGTTTTCAAACTCTGGAAATACGTAAATGTAGCGCGACGTACGGTCTGCAAGTGACAGGGTGCCGGATCACGGCCGTGTCGGGATCTCGAGGTGAACCAACGCGAGGCACTCAACAAGTTGAGAGCGACCATTTCCGATAACTCTACATGCCCCTCCCACCCCTCGCCCGCAAGACTTTTCTAAGCATACTAGTTCAAGGGCTGGACCTCTGTGGAAACGTCATTCGTGGCAAAATACTTAAGAGACAATACACCGAAGCATAGGAGACGATTGAAAGGATTTAAGAGACGAAAGCAATCGTCTCCTATATTTAGGAGACGATTCAGTAGGAGACATTCCAATTAGGAGACGATCGTTTCGAAATAGGAGACGATCCGAAAGATTTAGGAGACGATACCATACAGTTTACATGGTACACTTAGGAGACGATCCGTTGAGAATAGGAGACGATCCGTTGAAAATAGGAGACGATTCAAGAGGAGACGAAAGATTTAAGAGACGATCCGTTTCGTCTCCTATTTTTAGGAGACGAAATCCATTAAATAGGAGACGATCAAAAGGATTTAGAAGACGATCGGTTGCACGACTCGAGTTTCCACAGAGGTCCAGTCGTGAGCCGTGAAAATTTTACATTCCGTTTTCCTATAGTAAAACAGTACACCAGGTCCTCTTCTGGCTGTAAAGTGTTCCACAACTTCTGTTAACTCCAATAAAAGTGGATCAACACCACTGCAATTAACTCCAATGATAGTAGGCTTTATTGTTTGTATCGGTGTTAATATGTCAAACATAGAAGGCGAGTGTATACTTTAATAAAAGAGGCTGATGTTGGCTCGATTTGCTGTTATTGTCAGGTTCTCATTCCTCCTAAGTGTTAAATCTTGTGAGTGCCGTTTACACCCTTGACACCAATGTGTGTTGTGAGCCAAATCATTTGTACTGAGATCTACCTGAGTTCTACCTGTAAGTCTCAAAACCACCCTTAAACTAGTATATTCTGTTGGCCCAGGACAAAGGCAAGCCCGCACCAACCGGTGAAATCGAACGTTTTTTTTACGCCTTACGCAATGTGTGCATGTGTGCATCACGACGTGTAAGGGCACTGTCTACCGAAGCTACTAAAGGCGCTCTTAAACCAAAAATCGTCGTTTAGTCGAAAGTTTAGTATTTTCGGCAGTGTCTACCCATGCTACTAAAGCTATTTTCGACTAAACTTGTTAGTCAAAGGTCGTCGTTTTTGACTAACGGGAGGCTCTTTAGTGAAAATCGCTCACCAACACAAAAGGCTTGACTAACAGTCTTTTAAGCAGCAGCAACAGCAGCAACAGCAGCAACAGCAGCAACAAGCCAACCAACCAACCAACCAACTACTTGCCTCTTGTTATCTGTATCTCTACCGCTTATTATCCTCACTTTTACTATTCAGCACCTCTATGGATTTCTCTAGCAGCAGTTCGGAAGAGGATCAGGACGCATTCGACTTGATAGCCAATTTGGCAACGGTCCAGTCGGTCGTCATGGATGTCGTTGACAGCGATGGAGAGGACATTGATTCGATTGATCACCGTATATTTTCGAGGAATCAACGTCGTGTCTATGACCACGATCGGGCGTACCAGTGCATTATGGACGACTATTTGTCGCCACTACCGAGATTCAATGGCAGAGAATTCGAAACAATCTTCCGTATCAGTACCCAACGGTTTGAGCGAATACGCCAGGACTTTGGGAACAGTGGCCATTTCTTTTACAGTGGGGAAACTGATGCCTTTGACCGCAAGATTTCTTCCTTGGAAGCTCGATTGTTGCTCCCGTTGAAGTGTCTTGCCTACGGTGTTCCGGTAAATGCATTTCGGGACTATTTTCAAATGTCCCTAACTCATGCCAGAGATTGCCGCAAGTACTTTGACATCGTTATGCGGCAGTTGTATCAAGAAGAATACCTACGAATGCCCACTGCCGCAGACTTGAAAGCAATTTCAGATTTACACCAGCAAGTCCACGGTGTTCCCGGGATGCTTGGATCCCTTGATTGCATGCACAATGCATGGAAGAATTGTCCAGTTGGTTGGCAAGGTTCCCACCAGGAGTCTTTTTCTTGTTTCCCTTCTTGTTGGCCTTGGAACAGGAACCTGCGGCAGCACCTCTCCGGGTATTGACATGCTTGGCGCCCTTTGTATTAATCACAAGAGAGTCTTCTACAATCTGCTTGTGCTTGCACTGGCGATCAGGAGTGCTTCTTGTGGCAATGGCAACAGACTCTTTGACAGATTCAGCGAGCTTTTCTTTGAGATCTGCAGTATCAATAGATCCATCATCTTTCTTCTTCAAAGCCTTGGAATCGGCAGACTGACTTCCATCATCAGTAGTAGTAGTAGTAGTAGCAGCAGAGGCATCATCTCGAGAGGCCATGGTGCTGATCAATAGAGTCAAAAGCAACAACAAAGGGAGTGGAATAGAGCACAACAACAACAGGAATAATAATGACTGAATGAGGTTGCGATTTTCCTTCCAGCGAGCGAGTGGACGTATTTTAGTCGAACCGTTAGGCGTGTTTCGGTAGATACTGATCAGTCTAAAATTTTCGACAAAACTCACGACTAACCGTTAGTGTGCATGGTTAGTCGAAACGCGGTAGACACTGACGATCTTAAAGCTTTTCGACTAAACACACGATTAAATACCAGTCTTAAACAATCTTTAAGCGCGCGTTTAGTCACCTCCGGTAGACAGTGCCCTAAACAGACTACACCAAGGGAATAACAATTTTTTAAAAAAATGTGCCTTTTCGCACAACCACGCACCGCAAGCTTCTTGACGAGCTGGGCCTTCATCCCGTCGGTGGACATATTCCTGAGGAAAAGAGCGCCCCGAAGCTTCGCGGAAGACTGCCTCTTGTACTTCGCCGCGTCATGCTGAGATATAGGGGGGGTTAGGCATGAGCGCGGGGGAGGGAAAAAGAAGAAGAAGAGGGAGAGGGTTAACCTTTGGATTCCCCATTCTGAATCCCGAGCCTGCAGGGCAAAGATCCAGTGGTCGAACGACATGACGTACATACAATAAAGAGGGGAAATGGCAATGACTCTATCTTTGCTTTAATAATTGAAAAGTTCATCGCCCCTCTGAGGTATGTTCTTCAGACACTGTATATGTCATCAAATACGTCACAGCAATTCAAACCAAATCAACCGACACTTGCTCTTTTCCCATCCTTTGCTCGGACCAAACCCTCCCACTCCAACTTGACTGTCAGCGGCCGAGAAAAGAAAACCTTCCCAAGCTGGTGTGATTTTAATGAGGATGTTTTTCTGCTCTGAACCAGAGACAGTCGGGTTGACTGAGGATGATCCTACAGATCGATTCGCCTGTCACACTTGTTGAGAGGGATTCAACGCTTTGGTCGTGATATAGAGAGCGAACGGAACGAAGTAACTCCTCCGAACCGAGTCCAATAACACTAGTCAATATTCATTATTTTGATACTCTCTATCTTTGTTACTCTATCAAGATGATGATTTCTTCTCCTTTACAGCGGCTACTCCTTTCGAAGAAGGCTCCACCATGACAGGCTCCTCTTGTTTGGATAGGGTGGAAACAAGTTGCGTTTGACGTTCGAAGATCGATTCGGCCGATGACTTCTTTCTTCTTCCACGGAGCGACCACGGCACCTCCTCTTCCACGGAGCGGCCAATGACGCCTCGACGGCTAATGCAACAACTACCAACAACCGGCTACTACTCTATGCAGAGTTCAATCTACCGGAGTGATCTACTTTGAAGCGGCGGAGGCGACAGAAGGGGCTGAAGAGGTGCCATTGTGAGCTCCTGAGAAGTGTGTAAATATTTCATCGCGTTCGATTAGGTCGATCGACAATAACAACAACAACAAATGACAACACTACTACAACTACTACTACTCCCTTGATTGCTGCGCTATTTTGTCTTGAAGTCAGTGCCTACTTTGGTAGGGACAAGGCTCTTGGCATACAGCTAGCATTATGGTGAAGTACTCATCATCAACAACAGTTTCCACGGACACTGAAGCCTGTCAGCTTTCGTTCGACGGATCAATTCGTCCACACAGAGCGACCACGACACTTAGCGGCAGTTCGACCCTCCTCTACAGATGGATTCGGTCGATCGACAACAATGTTATTCAATGCACTACGCTAAAAGCTAGTGTAAAGATCTTTTGAGTGTTTTGAGTTTGAGAGAATGAAAGTTATGAGAGAGATTAGAAAGCTACGAAAACTATTCCATGAGAGAGATCGTTGTGAAGCTCATTGAAGTTGGTCTCCCGCGGGAGGCCTCGAAGTGTGATATCGTAGGTTATGGTAATAACTCTATGTACTCCACGGTCCATTTACGGAACACGTGGAAACTTCAGCTAGTTGCTGTCTAGTAGCGTGGAAGCTTTCCACGCTGGCTAAATATCTAGAGCGATGTTCCATCGACAACCTAGTATGACTAGCAGTCATGAGAACCCTGTCTCAATGACTATTTGTGAAGGACTACGTCATGAGTCGAACTCAAACCCTATCGAGTCGCGAATAAGGCTAAGAGCCGTGTATTGCATTCGCCCCCTGACAAGGATCACAGGAGGCACAACATCAGTCGGACAAGGAGACCATATGAATTAAAGTGCGGGGCACTCTCCGGAGATTGGATGTAGACATGTGCGTCACATGATGGCAATCCTACAAGGGGATCAGACCTTGTATGGGTGTAAATACCTTATGTTCCAAGTCTGGTAGACTGTGCCGCCATTAGCGGTAGCATGTCGGAGCCGTACAGTGCCATTGACATTGACTCGGTCTATGTTGTAAGGACCTTTGTACTTTGGCTGACCGTACTTGCGGTGCTGATACTGTTGAATCATCACAGTATCGTTGACATTGTATTGATGAGGGACACGCGTTGCGTTTTCCCTATCATTGTTTTTCTGGATAAGTCGTTGGAGACGTTCCTTGATGTATTTC